TTTTCAGACAGCAGCACTAAGTCTCTGGTGGCATCGTGCAATGGCACATCCGAGATATAAAGTCCTTTTCTGTTTTCGGTTCATCATGAAATTAATGTGAAATTGTTATTTTATTTTTAGCATTAAGTGCTTTCGTTATTAAATTGCCATTAAAGTATAATAATTAAATTAGTAAAATGTGCATAAGAGGCCATAATGTTTTAATCATAAAATTTTCTTCTCAATTTTCGCAAAGCTACTGTGAACAATTGCCCCTCTATCTGAATAGTATATTTAGACACAAAGCGTTTGAGCCGAACCATTATTTTGGAGAAGGAATTTATGCGATACTTTGCCGCTTTAATTTTGTTTGTGGCCATAATTTGTTGGTGAAGCAATTCATAAAAAATTATAATAAAATTTAATTTCTTCCTCTAAAGGAGCAAATAAGTGTTTACAGTTAAAACAATAGCCACTGAATTTTACTGTAAATTGATGGTAGAAAATATTTTAAATTAGAAAAAAGTAGCATATAAGAAAATTTAATGCGAATAAGGGATTGAAGTTTTTGTTTATACTTTTAAGAGTCTCGTGCTTTACCGATTGAGCTAGCCGGGATTGCACCAACTATAAGCGCAAACCTGACGGCAAGCACTTCTCCATCTCTGTCCTTTACGACAATGAAAAGATCACTCACGTTGACGAATACTTTTTGACACTCGCCCGTAGTTACTTCACCGGGATCCATGACCTCCCCCCTGACGTCTCTACTCCTAGTACCCTCGCTGAAGTTCTAGCCTTGTGCTTTAAACACCCCCGACACCTGTCTTACTACTTCGTTGAGTGAGACCGTAATCTCCACTCCATCCCCCTATATAACCTCGGCTTTCGTGACCGCAGTCACAAAGTTTAACACTAACCTCACACCCGCGCATCTGCTCTAACTCTATAACCCTTCACTATAACCCAGTTTGCCTAACGTACGCTCTTGCTTTCTGGCTAAGATGAATCTAGCTCGCTAAGTACTAAATTTATTTTTTTCTTTCTCCCCTGATTACTGGTGTGAAGTTTTCGCTATGCTGTGGAAATTTTCTCCATTCATTCCTAAGAGGTGGTTTAGTGGGTGCAAGTCTCACACGATGGCTTTTGATGCTTCCACCTACTGTCACAAAAAAAAAGCTTACACTTTCAGTACAAAAAAAACAAGCCTTGCTAAAACACATAAATGACTTTCAATAAAAGTATAAACGGTTAAGATTTTTTGCTTTTTATTCTGTTATGATTAATATGTTATAAACAAATAATTTATTTAATAAAATTAATTGGTTGTTATAAGATTTTTGCTATAAATTCTTTATTGTGTTGCACTTACTTGGTCAAATCATCTAGATTCATTACACTTGGATAGCATTGAAATAAAATCCGATCGGTTTCTGGAATATACATCATTTGGCCCTAACATAAAAACAAGATCATAAAATAAAATTTATAAATAAAACCAACGTTTACGAAAGGCTTTGATTTGTACAAAATTTGTCAAGAAATAATTTTCTGTACTAAAAAATAAAAATCGAATTGTTTTAAAAATGATTTTTTTGCGGAAATGATTTTTCTCTGCGTTTTATATTTTATAATAAAATTTGCCACAAATGGTCACATACTAAAAGCCAAATAACAATGCCGAATAAAACAATAACACAGTTTTTGGAGGAAAGGCGGAGGCATTAAAAAAATTGTAGAATTGTAAAATGTAATTGATATTGAAATGAAATTGAGGAATATATAACGTGTTTGATTTTGCGGTGTTGACAAATGCACATTCTGAGAATGTAATAAAACCCAGCCTGGTTTTGGGCAACGTGGCAGTTGGCGTCGTCATCAAAGCATCAAATTAAAATTTATGTTTGTACATTTGACAGAAACCGACATAATCGAAATTGTAGCCACAACTGGAATCGAAATCAAGTCTGACACATACGTATTTCGGTAATAGGCGGCACTGCAAAGCAGCAAATGATGACAATGCCAATCGAAATGAAGTACCAGTACATCGCATTTTTTTTCGACTAGTCCATGCTGCAATCCTGCTAGCATTTTTTTGAGAACTCTCACAGAGATTCATTAGAATTCGTCGCACGTACACTATTTCTGTGGTTCCATTTACCAAATTAGTAAAATGGAAAAAATTTTTCAAAATAATATCAACATGTTAGCTTTTGATGAAAGTTTTAATTTCTTTCGCATTCCGTGTGCGTACCATAAGCGAAAAGTAATGCAAAGTGTGTCAAAAATTCAAAGCACATTTGAAATAATACACTACACACAAAACCATTTCATAGGGATTGGTCGGTAGTCCTTGTTATGATGTCACCGACCAATCATGTCTTTGTGGCGGAGTGCAAACATTGAAAAAAGTTAACGACAATGGAGTCAAAATAGATAATTTTGCTAGAAAGTATAGTTGAGCTACTTTTATAGTTTTCGCTGTTCCATTTCATTAATGAAAACGTTATTGATGATCAATGTGGTTTCAAAAATATTTAATTAAATTTAAAAATTAATACAATAACTTGCCATCCATCGCTTACCTTCAGTCTCAAGTAGCGTTCATGTTTACCCATCGCACCTTGCCGTGTCTGTAGCACATAAATTGTATTTATGTGTGCCAAAATATTCTCGAATGTTAACTGTAAATGTGGGCGGATTGCCTCGAGTACCTCTATTAGGGAACAATTGTCGTCGGCCACTCTGAAAATTTATTTTTGAATTGCTTTTAAATTTATTAATATATAAAATTTTTTTTTTTATTTTGATATTATATTATTTTATATTTGGCAAAATTTTATTGCAGTTCAAGTTTCTTTCTTTCGTATGCGATGTACTTACCTCGGTAAGACTCTTGACACTGATTTTCCAGCCTGCACAATTTTCATTTGTCGATCGAATATAAGATGAAAGGGAAATACTCTACAGAATGTTGCCGGAGATATAAGCGGAGCTGAAAGACGAAATTGAAGAAGAAGAAGAAAAATAAAATTGAAAAACCAAAATGACCACAATTTTCTTTTTCAGTTGTGTTTATTACTCGTACATGAAAATGGTTTCAAATTTAATTCGAAATTTTTGCTATTTGAAGTGCACTTTTGGATTTTTAGCTTTTTATGGCATTTCATGTCATTACTCAGGGAAATTAAAAAAGTAAGTGAAAAAAAATCAATATTTATTTTTATATACTTATATATATTGAACTCTCACAAATAGTTTAAAGGACAAAAAAGAAAATTTACTAAGTTTTGTTTTAAATAAATGAAAATCAATTTAGTAGAATCAAGTCTTTTAAAAATTATGATTATCAATTATCTTATAGTTATAATAGTATATAAAATATTATAATAATAATATAATAAAATGCTATTCTTAAACATACAGCAGTTTCATTGGAATAGAAGTATCAGTACAGTCTTAGATTCTAATAATTATAGATTTAGTCTGTGATCTTAAGAGTTATCAAAATTTCCCAAGTTAATTTAAATAAAATGTTTATATTTGATTTAATGATTTATGATATATAAATGAAATTTTTTACTATAATATAACAACTTATTTATATATGGGAATAGGAATGAACGGGGTTCTTGCTCCAAACGAATCGGTGCACTGCGACTATGATTGATCTTTTGTGCTGTTATACGCCCTAACCGAACAGAAGACATTCCGCCTTCCAAATGAAGACTAGAATGTCGTCTGTTGAGGACCTCGTAATGTCAGAAAGGGAGAGTAGTTCTCGACCCAGTGACCTCACATAGAATGTGACTGCAAGCCTCATCTGCTTCTTAGCAGAGTCGACAATCTATCTCTTCGTACAGATCCATTTTGTTAAGGTAACAACGCAGCTCATGGTGAGCCGTTAAATATCCTAGCAGAAACCTCAACTCTGTTCTGCTGAAAAAAGATATATTGTCAAAACCAAAGATGTCAGATTTATTATTATTTTAACAAATGTTTAGAATAATGTAGTAGTAGTCATAGCAATGGTTTGATTGCATATTCAAATTTATAGGAAAACTTTTTATGAACTTGATATTTGCAGTATTTTAAATACCAAGAGTAATTTTGGACCTGTAAATATGACATTCAGTAGTCTTTCAATTAATACAAGTACTCGTGCTGGGAATGTAAATTATTTAAAATAATATCCCGGGTACTTTAATTCGTAAAATAAAACTCACTTATCGAATTTTTTTTTGGATTAATCTAACATAATAAAACATATACTATTTATATCTGGGTAGTGTTGAAAAACACTATTTTTTTTTATATGAATGTACTTATTATAAAAAATTAGTGCTATGTACTCGTAACTTTCACATTAAAAAAAAACTAATTATATTAAATACACAACAAGAGTTGTACTTACAGTCACTTGTGAAGTCAATCTCATCCGGTGGTTCTTTACTGTCATCTTTGGTTGATACATTTTCACTAGATTTTGCATCGGAGCTTATTTCTTTTATTAGAAATTGTACGTGATCGTAACGTTCAATGTCGTCGCTTTTATTTTTCAGTAAACGTAAGCATTTCTGTTCCTTTTCCGCATCGCTATCAAAACTTTCTCTTTGTGAAGAGGCGGAAGTTGATTTCTTCTTTAAAAAAGGACATTGTTCTGCAAGGATATGAAATATATCAACAAAAAAATAAAGAAACAAAAAATTAAAAGATAAACGACATTCCACGCAATGTTTCTCTTTAAACTTAATATTTATTATGATTAGTATTTACGGCTATGTGGCATGTAATCTTCATTAAGTTAACAGCCGTTCCATATGTGCTAACATAGCTAACATATTAAGGCACTGACACAGACACAGACACATACACATACTAACCTTGATTTCTATTGCTTACATCTGTGCTTGTCACATTAGCTAAATTATTATCATCAGCTTCGTTGTTATTGTTATTAGTGACATTAATGTTGTTGCTATTTTGATTGTTATTTTCTTCTGTTGCAATTGTTGTTGATGTTGTGGCTGATTGTTGTTGCTGCTGCTGCTGCTGTTGTAATTGCAATGAGAATACATCATCCTTTTCATCTTCCTCCATTGGATCACCTTTTCTTTTGATTATTTCTATTTCAACTTCAACGCCATGTAATTTTGATGCTACAGCCTTTAAATTAAATCGTATATACCATGTATGTATAATAAATTTAATATAAATTTCCAAAGTTAAAAAGAAATTGTGTAAATTATATTGATAGTATTATTTATTAGTTGCGAATTTATTTAATATATTTTAATCAAAAGATAAATTATACTTTTAAGCAGTTTGAAAGTTTATTTTTGACTTTAAATAACAAATATACATCAAGAGTCATAATAAATCCGCTTAAACATCACTCAAAAGACATAAAAAACCATACATCATATTTGGTGATATCCTACCTTTACAATTCCAATGACGATGTGTTCTAAACCGGGTCGTTCAGAATAGTAATGCAGTAAAAGTGAGCCATCCTTCTCAGTGCAGCGAAACGAAGGGGCACGCATGCCAGGATATAAAGTACCCAAGTGGTCATGTAAAGCATCCAAATTCTATTCAGCAAAGTTGGTATTGTAGTTTGGTGTGGCAGCAATGTAAATATGTGGGCGGTGGCAGTTGCAGTTGCAGTTGCAGTGAAAGCATCAGCAACAGTGTTGCAACAGCGATTGTGAGTTTTTATGTAAAAAGAATTGAATTTTATTCAATTTGATTTTCCATTATGACAAACGTTCGGATGAATGAGTATTGAACAATGTGAGCATTACAACAACAATCGAATACAAGTAAATAAATAAAAAAAAGTGCAATATTATCAGCAACAAGGCCACTAGCAACAGTAGCATCAATAGTAGAGCAATAGCAATAGCAAGAGCATCAATTGGTTGAAATAAAATTAAAAAGTGGAAAATTTAAAATAAATCGATTGAAAGCTGAACTAAAAGGGATATATTATTAACAATTCCTCTCACAAAAAAAAAACTAATATAATTGTTATCGCAATAGTGGTGGGAATATATGTGTACAAATCGAAAAAGTGAATACAAATTATTTATATTGTGGGTTAATTAATATTTATACACTAATAAAAACAATAGTATTCACAACAACAGAATGTTGAGGTTTTGTTATACATGACTAAAGAGTAATTTGACTTCTGTGACATCCTTTTGAAATGTTTTATACATTGAAGCAATGTAGTATGGTTATTAGTGAAAAATTTTTCACTATAATTGGAGTCAATATTTAGTTTGACAACACCTATACCTACTGTAAACTATAGTTGCGACATTATATTATATATAATTATTTTTGTTTTTTCTTTGTGCAAAAAACAATTAATTTATTCACAACATTATTCGTGTTATTTTATATAGTAATTAAACTATTTAAGTGATCTGAGAGATATTGTAATTAGTGGTTTAATATTGTATATTGCTTAATGCCTGCGTAAGTTTTTAATAATAAAGGCTTTGCAATTGTTATAGAATTTTTTATTCGTTTTTTATTCGTAGATAATTCTCGCAAAAAAGAAAATTTTGATAGATCGGGTAGACACTTCGTAAGGCTCCTACCGAAATTTGTCAACAGGCGTTGGTATACAACCCGCAAGGGAGCAGAGAAAGACGTTCTCCAGAACCAATATGGAGAAGGTCAACATTAAATGCAATAAATACAGTTTTGCAGCCTCTAGGAAAAAGAATAAGCAACATTACTTATATAAAGGACGTAGTGCTGCGGCGCGAAAGGTAGAAGTGACTTATAGACAGCCTACGGCAAGTATAAAAGGCTGCTCGAAAGCATTGATCTCAAGCAAGGCTTATTATTATTATTAATTCTTAGCATATACCAATTTGTTGAAGGAACTTGTTCTTTTAAGAAAGGAATTTTTATTACAATGATCTTTACTATTATTAATATAATGCTATCGTTTATTTAAGCCAGACTAATATACTTGAAGAATGATTAACAGTAAAAAATGTAGTTACCAGATTGTTGCACTTATAGGTATATGAGTGCATTTACTTCTAACTAAAACTAAATTAAATTTTTATTTGATTTATCGAAAGTTGATGTTGCTACATTGTTACTGTTATAAATAAGTTTATGTACTTTGACACTAGATTGAATTTAAAGTGACTTCACTACAATCAAAAAACTAATAATTTAATAAAAATAATAATTAAATAATAATTTTTTGAAATAAGAAACATATTAAACTGTACCTGTAAAAAATCTCTGGGTGTAGCACCTAGCACTTGTAATATTTTATCATACCCAGAATCTTGACAAAATTCAAAAAATGTCTTTCCAAATAATTCTAAAATATCATCTGCTGGAATATCTGTAATTTAAATATAATTAATATGCTATATAAAATTTATTATACATAAATCAAAAAATTAAACTAAAATATAGTTCATTTAAATATTATGTGGTCATAATATTTTAGGTCAACAATACTTACTTAGTATCTCTACTGCTGCTCCAATTAAATTATATGTAATTTCATCGTCATAAATTTGTCTTACCAAAAATTGTCCTTCCATGTTGACCATTGCTTTTTTTCTAAAATGGAAAAAAATACATTTTTAAATCAGAATAATTTTCATTTTAAAATTAAATACTTTTAATTTGTATCATCTATGAATAACTTATGGCGTTTTCGATTGATAAATCTAGAGTAAATTTTTCAACTGAGATACTCTTTTAGGGTTCGTGTTCTAGTTTGAACGGGATATGGTTATGCGTAATACAGTATGTAAATACCTTGAGCCTATGCCATATCAAGACCATGATGCGTGATATATTATCACATCCTTCTCGAGGTGAACCTGTTTTTCATGTTGGCTATCATGTCGGCATAACAGAACATCATGGATCTAGAGAGGAAAACTCGATAAAACCCGTAATCTCCGGTGTTATTCGACCCGTGCCGATGAGATGAATAGCACTACGTCAGTGTGTTTTTAAACGGAGACCTCCGGATAACTGGCGCCCTCCGGTTGTAATTTAGCCTTATCCGGGTATTGCGGATCTCTGCCCGGATGGACCCTCCCTTCTCCGCAACTCGTGGGTTTAAATATGAATGAACCAATAACTAATAAAAATAAAAATTCTATAGCGGAGAGCTCGGCTAAACAGAGCTCAAAATCTTCGGACACTAAGTGTCCAAACAAGGTACCTACCGCGACTTCCAGTGGTAATAAAAAGGTGCCTCCAAATCATAAACAAAATGTATCGACGCGCTCCGGACCACTAATTCGGTCAGGCCCTCCTGGGAGGAGGAGTTACAAGGAACGCCGAGCGGCGACTAGACTGCTCGAAAGATACGGCAATATTTCGGTTACATCCGAATCTATGAAGGCCAGGATTGCCTGGGCTAAGCAGGTCCTCGATACCTCGAAGGACAAGCAGGAACCTGCTACGAAGCGACAGCGCTCATTAGATGAGTCAGCTTCAAAACCTGATGCCAAAAAGGCAAAATTTCGTGGCAACGCCACAAATGCAAAATCCTTTAGCGACATGCTGAAGGGTTCTTTAATAATGGGAGTCATTGATGAAAATGACCCGGATGGCACAATTACACCTGCTAAGTGGGACTTAATTGAGCTCAAGCTCCTTGACATTTATGTCGATCTCCTGAAGGACTTTCCTGGAGACGGTCCCACTTGTCGCGATAGTGGATGGCATCAGGGCCATGTGAAACTTATCGCCTGCGCAGATCAGCGTTCTGTTGATCTTTTTCGCAAAGCCATTTCCAGAATTGGTGAGGCATGGCCAGGCGCCAAACTTAAGGTTGTTACTAAGGAGCAAATCCCTAGTCGACCAAGAGCGCGTTCCTGGATACCAGCCCATCAGTCCGATCCTCAGCGGATTCTGGAACTTATTCGGCTAGGAAACCGGCAGTTAAACACATCAACGTGGAAGATTACCAAGCTGGAGGAAGTCAAAGGTAAATATAGGTCGGTCAGTTTTGTGATTGACAAAGCATCCTTGGCCACTTTGGCGAAATCAAACGGTGTTATTAACTACGGTTTCTCAGCCATCACAATGAGGGTATATAAAAAGGACGAGGAGCAATCCTTACCTAACGACACAGGTCCAGCAGCACCGCAAGGCACTGTTGATACCATAATGGAAGCGGGTGATATTGAAACTGCTACCGCAAACTCAGTGGGCCCAGTAGAAATACTGCCTACCACTTCTGATTCAATAAATATGGACGTGACTATGTCCTCTCCAGCTCCTTCAATTACATCTGAAGAGAGTATTGGTACGCGCTATCTTTTTGACGAAGAAGAACTTTTGAACTCTGAAAATGAATCTGAAGAAGATAGCGCGCTTGACGTTACAGTGGTGGACACTACCACATCCAAAACAAATCATGATGCGGGTACTACAAATTAACCTGCACCACTGCAAGGCTGCGTCCGCCAGCTTGTTGCAATGCCTCAGCAACAACGAGGCTGATATGGTCCTGGTGCAAGAGCCATGGGTTTTCAAGGATCTTGTCTGCGGACTCAGGACTAAAAACTTTGACTTAATGTATGCGGTAAACAAGGGTAAGCCTAGATCCTGCATATTAATAAATAAAATATATAACGCTCTCATGCTTTCGCAGTATAGTGACAAAGACCTAACCGCAGTAAGTATTGAGGGACCTTGGGGCCAGATATGGGCGGTATCTGCATATATGGCTCATGATCACGAAGAGTTACCATCAAGTAGCCTAAAACAGCTGACAATTGACGCTAGGAGACTTGGTGCAGATATCATTTTGGGTTGCGACGCAAATGCGCACCATGAAATATGGGGCAGCTCAAACACGAATGAACGTGGTGAGTTACTTTTCGATTTTATTTTTAGTAATAATCTTTTTATATGTAATGACGGTAATAGGCCGACTTTTGTTACCAAAAACAGGCAGGAGGTTTTAGACATTACCGTGACTACTGCCAAAATTCATGGGTCTATAAGAAAATGGAAAGTGTCCACTAGACACTCTTTTTCAGACCATATGATTTTAGAATTTTCTATAAACTTAAAGAAATCAAGTACCCCCAGTTTAGAAACTTTCAGAAATGTCAGGAATACAAACTGGACAAAGTACAAATCATCTATAAATGAGCTGCTGACAAACTCTACTCTTTATCCGCCAGAGAATATAAATGATCTGGACGAGCAGGTAGGAGATCTTACCTCAATACTTAATGAAGCTTTTAACCTTGCCTGTCCTTCAACTCGACCTAGTAGGAAGAGTAACCCACCCTGGTGGAATAGAAACTTAGGTCAATTGAGGAAAGAATGCAGGAGACTTTTTAATAGGGCAAAGCTAAATAGAAATGAGAGTGACTGGTCTGAATATAAGATCTCTCTGCAGAATTATAAGAAAGAACTACGTAAGTCTAAGAGGATTAGTTGGCAATCATATTGTCAAGAGATTAGTAGGGACTCTGAAACCTCTAGACTACGCAAAATCCTATCTAAAAATCCTTCTGTTCCTGAGTTGCTAAGAAAACCGGATGGGACTTGGTCAAATAACAGTAGGGAGTCACTAGATTTATTACTAGATACCCACTTTCCAGGATCCTTTGCTTCGACGGAATCCTCAGAATGTTTAAACTACGCACCGGTAAACTCTATCAAGTTAAACCTACAAACTCTAAAATGGGCCATTTTTAGCTTTAAGCCATATAAATCACCAGGACCGGATGGTATTCATCCTATTGAGCTGCAAAACTCTTGGGATCAAATACAAAACTGGCTTCTGACCATTTTTAAATATTGTCTCATTTTTAATTATGTTCCAACTCAATGGAGAAAGGTTAGAGTTGTTTTTATTCCTAAGGCGGGTAAAACCTCTCATAGTAACCCTAATGAACTCCGTCCAATTAGTCTTTCATCTTTCATGCTGAAAGCTTTAGAAAGAATTATAGACTTTGAAATAAGGCGCGTTATAGATCCCAATCTTTGGTCACCGTCACAACACGCCTACACTAAGGGTAAATCCACAGAGACAGCACTCCATGCCCTCACCTGTACTATTGAAAAAACTCTTAAAGTAAAAGAATTTTGTATAGTGGCTTTCGTAGATATTGAAGGAGCTTTTAACAATATTCTTCCCAATGCAATAGCTAACGCACTCTCGCGTCTGGGTGTTGAGGATGCGCTCATCAGCTTTATCGGTCAGCTACTAACTGGCAGAATTATTGAAGCACAAATGGGTGTATCAGCAACACACAGACGGGTAAATCGAGGTACCCCCCAAGGGGGCGTACTCTCTCCTCTCCTCTGGAATATAGCGGTGAATGAACTGTTACAAAAACTGGGGAGAGCGGGATGCGGGACAGTTGCTTATGCGGATGACATTGCACTAACAGTTACTGGAAAATATGCTACTAGTTTAAGGGATATTTTGCAGTATGGCCTGAATATCCTTAACAATTGGACACTGACATGTGGTCTCGGGGTTAACCCCAGAAAAACAGAAATCGTAGTATTTACCAGAAAACATAGGTTTCCAAATCTTTCTCCACTCTATATTAAAGGTTCTGCGATACAATATATTGAGAAAGCAAAATTTTTAGGCATTGTTTTCGATAGGAAACTGAGCTGGAAAGAAAATGTTTTGGAGCGGGCTAGGAAAGCAAACATTGCTTTGCTCCTTTGTCAAAAAGCTATTGGTAAAAGGTGGGGTTTGCAACCACGTATCGCTCAATGGCTATACACTGCTGTCATTAGACCAATACTTCTGTATGGCATTGCCATATGGTGGACAGCTCTTGATAAATCTTCGTACTGTACGGTACTGAACAGGGTTCAGCGCAGGGCTGAACTCTGTATAAGTGGTGCTCTGTGTACAACACCATCTATAGCACTAGATCTAATGCTCCATTTAATGCCACTTGACATCATCAGTAAGCAGTTGGCAGCATCATCTGCCCTAAGACTTAAGGCTACTTCACAATGGAAGGCTAGTGACTATGGGCACGGCTCGATTCTAAATATTTTCAGTCCTACTCCAAATAACATTGACTACACCTCTCCGATTCTCGACTTTGATAGAAAATTTATTGTTAGATTCCCATCCAGGGAAGCTTGGTTGTCAGGAGGTCCCTCCCTGGGTGAGGGTCTGCAAATTTTTACTGATGGTTCAAAAACTGGGAGCGGCGTAGGCAGTGGAGTTTTCTCAGAGGGGCTGAATATATCCTCCTGCTATAGGCTTCCGGATCACTGTAGTGTTTTTCAGGCAGAAGTAATTGCCATTAAGGAAGCTTTAGCTTGTCTAGAAGTAGGTAATATACTTGAAAGGAATATATATATACTATCGGATAGTCAAGCTGCTTTAAAGTCCTTGAGTTCTGTTCAATTCACATCTAGGACGGTCCTTGACTGCTACACATCTCTAAATGAGATGTCGACGCAGTTCAATATTTCTCTAATCTGGGTTCCCGGTCATAGGGATATTTACGGCAATTGTAAAGCAGACGAGCTAGCCAGACGTGGTGCTTCAGGGAACCACTCGGAACACCTAAACAATCTGGGCATATCGTTGACTTCATGCAAATTGATTTTGAGTTCTTCCTGTGCCGAACTTTTTAATAAAAGATGGGAAGACTCTGCGATATGCAGGCATCTGTATGCAATGTGGCCACAGACCAACAATAGAAAATCGAAATCTCTTTTAGAGTTATCCCGTAGAGATATCAGTCTTGTAGTGGGTTTACTAACAGGTCATTGTATTCTAGGTAATCATGCTAGGAGACTGAATCTACCGTTCAACCATTTTTGCCGCAGTTGTGGTGAGGATGACGAAAGTGCCTCTCACCTGCTTTCTTCGTGTCCGGCACATGCACGGCGTCGCCTTAAATTTTTGGGGGCTTTCTTTTTTGAGGATCTTGACGAACTTCGAGAACTCCCTCTATGTAGCATTGTAAGCTTTGTTAAAGGTTCTGGATGGTTTTAGCCCGTGGGTTCTAAATAATACGGTATCACAATGGGCCTATGGGCCTAAGTGGATCCCCCTGGGATCGCCGGTTTAACCTAACCTTAACCTACTCTTTTAATGTACTTTTAGTGTATCATTTTTGATTGCTAAATCTGGAGCAAAATGTATAACATTAGAGATTAATTTATAACACTCTAGATATTTTGTCAGAGTAGAAAAATCATCCTAAATTAACAGCTGTTTTATATAATTTGAAAAATAAACTATGACTTGAAACTAACATTTTTTTAGTCGTGTTGATAGCCATTTGTATTTTTCACAAATTATTTATATTTTTATTTATATATATATTTTTTATTTATATATATATATTTCACAAATGGCTACTAATACGACTAAAAAGATTGTTGTAGAATGTTTGATTGGGCAATGAGATTTGATAGATCGAGAGTAAATCTAGTTTGAATCCAGACTTAGCAATTAAAACGCCTTTACTTTTCAATGAATTATTCTAATATTAACTGTAACTATGAAAGAGAAAAGTGTTATAACTCACTCAATGCAGGATTGGATTATTTTATATATTAATTAAACAAATGTTGTGTAAGATTGATCGAGCTCTTGCAAACACCATTCCCTAACCAACTTTTCATCTTGAGAGAATTTGTAAATCATATTTTCTGTTTGATAATATATATAACAATATAATAATAATATAATTTTTCTTTTTGACAGGAGAGATATTATATAGTATATGTGTTTTCTAAATAGATGTGATTATTAACTATTACAACTGGCATATCCTGTCAACTAGAATTTTTATATTCTAAAATTTTTATATTATATCGCAATTTCAGTCATAATTTATTCAAAAATTATTCATATAATTTACTAATTAGGATAAATATTTTTTTTTGCTTAAAAAAAAATAAATAATTCTCAAAAATTTCCATTAAAAAATGTGGAAAAATTATTTTACATAAATTTTACTGAACATAATTAATATGTTACTCGTACTGTAAATAGTCTGGCGTACCGCAAATATCTGATATCTGCGCTGACGTCATTTGTATAAAGCAACTACGTAAAAAATTCCAATAAATTACTTTTAAATAATTTTTTTAATACATTATTTGAGACTCAAAATAAAAAAGAAAACTGTTTCCATAAAAAATCCATTATAATTTTCTCTTTTTTTTTGTAATAAAACTTTTTAATGAGATATCAAAAAATTTTGATTATCCATGAAAAACAATGAAACGTCAAACCTTCAAGAGTTATACGCTATAGACTTTTCTCGTATTTTTTTTTAAATATTTTAAAGCGTACTCGACTGTCAACACATTAACACTTCAAATTGATAACGTGC